TGGACCCTTCAGACGTCCGGACGCTGGACCCTTCAGACGTCCAGACGTGGACTTAAGGTTGAACCAGAGCTGTGGAGGTTGACCATTCTCTTCCTTTGATCTCCTCTACTTTTCCCATGATGCCTCACACAGAAACCGACTGGTTGAGGTCAGGGTAACTTAAACCAGCTTCCTACACAACATGCAACGTCAGCAAGAACCCGGATTTCTGGCAACAGAACTTGAGTCCAGTGTAGTGTTGCAGCGTAGTCGCTTTGTGCCGATAAAAACCAGCAGAAGCAGCTTTGATGCTACGAGACTCGCAGTATAACAGACATGATGCTGAGAAGCCTCAAACAGAACCTTCTGCCACCTTTGCTGCTTCTCATCAAGGATAAAGAGCCAGAATCAGAACAGAACCACCGGAGCGCCACACGTCGGCCCAGTTCCTGTTAGTCCTGGATCGTAGCCAGAGCTTGAGCTGCATCCTTCGATATGTTCCGGACATTTTGGCCCCGGGAACGTGGACTTCCTTCAGGTTGACATGGATGAAAGCATCGGACGTGTCCGTCATGAACGAGGTCTGCTGCGCTGTTCTTAGCCCAACATCAAGACTTTGGAGACCCTCTACAGTTCTCGTGACGTCACCCCTGATCGACGTCGTTAACTCAGACTAACCAATCAGAATCTTCAAAGCTATGACATCATCTTCTGAGTGTTAGTGTATGCAAACTTGTGATTCTCTGTCAAGATTTAAGTAGTTGAGCAAATGTTCTCGAGTCCTCAGGGGCCTAAAACAGGAAGTGATTTAGATTCAAGAACTGGTTCTGTGGGTTTTAATCTGGCGTGTAAACGTAACGGTCTCTGCAGCCTCGTTAAAGACGTTGGCCCGACACTAAGCAGAAACGAGGAAACTCGACCTGAAGTCTTTTCAGCCCCTGGACAGTGGATGAGCCCGTTTTCAACCAAACCTTTGCAGAGGAACGATGACATCATTTCCCGTCTTCTTCGTGGTTCTGGCGTTTGACTCGGGTCGATTCTGAGCACGCCAGTTTGGGTTTCTCATCATTCTTGTGATTCTTGGTGGTTAAAGAAGTTTGTTGAGTTGGGAGTTTGGTCTGAGGCAGTTTAGGTTTCTGGTTCTGATCGGACTTTTTATATCTGATCTGTGCAGCTGCTCGTTTAGGAACCAGCTCCTGGACTCGTTTTCTGTTTGGAGCTGCTCGGTTCTGCTCACCGTCACAGACCGTGCTGGTGTTCACACTGCTGGTTCTGCTCCAGAACCATCCGGACTCAAGTGTTTGGTTCTGGTCAGAATGACTCAAACAGATCCAGATGTTTGCACTGGAAACCCCGAGTGGTGTTCTGGAAACAAAAGTCTGGAGTTGAAGTCGGACCCAGCCCGGTCCAAAAACTGAACGTTTTCCAGCATTTCTAGTTCTGGGTCACGACATGAAGCCCGTACTGGCTGAGCCGGCGGTTAGAGGCTGAAGTTTCCGGTTGTTGGTCAACTCTTGATCACTCCAGGATGATTGACAGCTGAGCTCGTTAACGTTGTGGTCTTGGTTCTGACTGGACCTGCTGTGATCTCAGAGCTGTTGAGAACCAACATGAAAATAAGACAAACAACTTGAACTGTCCCTTTTGACTTCCCGTAGGAGGAGCACCAGCAGCAGAACACAGGGCAGCTGTTAGTACAGGTGTTGGGCCCGATCGCGGCGGGTTTCGTTCCAGATGTTGGGCCCGATCATGGCGGGTTTTGTTCCAGATGTTG